AAAAATTATATAATGTATATGTTGAATTTGCACTTTATAAACGAGGATACCTAGCAAAATAAGACGGCAGATCAACGATGCTGATTCGCCTAAAGGCCATTGTTTACTGATAGCGATCGACGGCTCTATTAAACGGCTAAACATGTTTCTAGAAACAGGTCTTCTAAAAATATTTGCTTATCGTACTCGGTAGTGAGGGTATTTTCTAGGCTGTTGGTTCAAACGACTTTTAGCTGAAAGAAAGATTAGCCAAGTGCGAATCAAGTAGTCTGAAAAATGGTGATAATTACTAATATTGGTTTGGAGTCGTTCCATGAACATTATCAGTAAAAATGTCATTAATAACAATCACGCGAGAGGGCAGCCCAAAAAATAATCAAGCACAGACTAGATCGTCGCGTTAACAACGACATAAGCAGAAAATGCTCTGTAAGAATTCTCCACAGTGTCCTACGTTTCAATCATTTGCGAACGTACCGTCGTAGAACGTCAACGCTGAATAAGCAGAATAAGACCGATCTGAAATAAGAAGATCTTCGATTCTACAAATAAAACCGTCTACAAATAAAACCTTCTACAAATAAAACCTTCTACAAATAAAGGCTTCTACAAATAGAACCTTCTACAAATAAAACCTTCTACAAATAAAACCTTCTACAAATAAAACTCTCTACAAATAAAACCTTCCACAAATAAAACCTTCCACAAATAAAACCTTCCACAAATAAAACCTTCACAAATAAAACCTTCCACAAATAAAACCTTCCACAAATAAAACCTTCCACAAATAAAACCTTCCACAAATAAAACCTTCCACAAATAAAACCTTCCACAAATAAAACCTTCCACAAATAAAACCTTCCACAAATAAAACCTTCCACAAATAAAACCTTCCACAAATAAAACCTTCCACAAATAAAACCTTCCACAAATTAAACCTTCCACAAATTAAACGGTAGCAGCGAGAAAGAGCAAACCGTAGAAGCCGAACTGATTAAAAACCAGTGGTCTTAAATACCATTGCTCGAGTATTATTTTATAGATACTGTAGCAAAACAACAATGGCAAATTGTGCAATAACATTGCAAAACAGTATAAAGGGCAAGTATATTTCTGGTACGTGAGCGTAGAATAACGTCCTCGGAAAACGAAGTGACGCAATAAATGAGACTTGATATGTTCATTTGCCAATTATGTGCATCAATTGAAAGGTATCAATGTGTCGTTTATTGTAAAACAATCTGCAAATACCAGCGGTTTTATTGTGACACAGATAATCTAGCTCTACCAAAAGGCTCTTATTTTCAGCACTTACATTGGTTTAACCGATTGCCATTGGAGTTTGAATACGAGGTAAATTCGTCCGCCAAGCTGCAGGGTTTATGTTTTTGGTGGAGTGCCAAATCGATTAAGACGTTGAAGGCAGCCTTGAGTGTCAACAGCTGATAGTATAAGCACCTGCTTGATCAAAGATATGTGCCAGAGCAACGGCCTTATAAACTACCTTACTGCAGCGTCCTCACCCGACTCTATCCTTGTGAGGCCTGCACGCCAATACTGGGTGGACCAAGGTGTGGCTAAAACCAAGCCATGGCTAGGGTCAGCCGCAGGTGGCTGCTAATCAAGAATCTACGCACTGTAGTCAGTAGAGGACAGCCGTCCTTCGAACAGCAAGGATTCAACGATTTAACGTGTTTCAAAACAGGGCCTATTACAAATGTAAGGTTTCTATGGATCCCGCATTAAAGTTGGAAGGCCTCGAATGAAAACACCTCAGCGAATGTCAGAAGGCCATAGCACGAAGATTCTCTTCTGAACGAGGTCACCACTAGACACTTAAACGGAGGTTATATCTATCTTGGTACGTACTTGTCGACGGATTTCTTTGTTCAATTGAAGGAAACACAGCGCTTTTGCGAGGCGCGCAGGCCCTGCCTTAATCTGCATCATGCCTTGAAATGGCAGACATGAGGGCCCTTTCATATCGGCTATGGCGTATATTCGCAAGCCACAGAGGCAGTAACGTGGTCAGGCCTGGTGGCTATTAGCATCCGAAGCTTAGAAGACAATATTCGCGTATTTTCGGATTTGCTCCTATGTGTGGACATCTACAGTTACAGGGGTGATTAGATTGAAGAGAATGAAGTCCGTACGTCTGAGCATCAATGCGTGCACTTCGTAAGAAAGGTTCGATTCGAGTAAATAAAATAGGCACTGCGGTGTCTCGAGGACGGCACAAAAACATTATTTTACAATTATTACATATTACAATATATCCTTGGCGGATGTCAACGAGGCTTGGAATTGGGATTTGCAAGCAAAAGAAACTTTAGGTGGGTAGTGCGGCGAAGTATTACGGCTTATGCCAATTTGGGGTCGAAGGTACTTCCGACGCTGCCGTTATATGAAAGAAGGGTGTAGCTCGCGTAAATCATTTGTGAATCATGGCTGGACATATAGGTAATTTGCAGTTATACACTGTATACAAGTACTAGGGGAATTTGTTATTAGTCTGTGGGGGTCAAGTAGCTAATATTTGTTAGAAAAGTGGTACGTTTACATATAGCAGCAATATTTTTCAGCTGTACAGCGGCTTGAGCTAATCTTATTTAGCGATCTACCTCATTAAGGAACCTATAGTATACAGGAAACAAAGATATGGTTTCGTCTTCCAAATGTCGCGCTTCCGTCCTGGTAACAAAGCAATAAGTAGAAAAACACCAGATACACTCGGAATGTATGCCCGTTCCTAAGATGTCTGCAGAAAATTTATCAACGCGTAGTAACAAAAAAAAAGCTATTCGCTTTATAAAACAGCAAAAACTTATATACTCAGTATTAGATAATACCATGACTTCATGGTGTCAGAAAGCTTTTGCAAATAAAATTCACGTCAGATCAACGATTCTGACCAGTGCGCCACCCCACTAACGAACGTCAAATACGTCTCAAAACACCACACGTGCGAAAGGTCTATCTAACCTAGTGAAACGTTGACGCGTTTTTTATGAGGTAAACATCATTTACGTCTAAAAAAAGGGAAAGTATCAGGCGAAAAGTTATGTCGAGCTACCCTAAAACACGCAGAACAAGACACGTATTGAGCAGCTCAATGAACTAATCCGAGTTATAATTATCCGTAATTCTAAGAAGAAATCTAATAAGAACGGAAACGTTATGTTAGACGCTACAAAGAGATCCTCAACGCTGCAAACATTTCTAAATTAGGTTCTTCGTTATGCTGCCAGAGCATCACCGTGTGACTTGGGGCAAATTAGCGACAATGGTTGGGCAGCAACGAGCAATCATGCAACTCGCATTACCACCGTTCTACCACAAGTAAACGTTATCTAAAATAACTCGTAGGAAAAAATTTGGTAGAAAAGTGGTAGGAAAAACTCATAGAAAAATCTCGTAAAATGTGATTCCATTTTTTTTTTGACATTCGAGTAGAGAAATGCGAAGCCTTAGTAACTGAGAACTTCAAACTATTGAAGTATGCTGTTAACGGACAAGTAGAATTATAACGAAAAATACGAATTGGATGTTGTTCAAGACTTCAGAAAGGAAGGTTTTACTTAATTGTATGTCTATGTGCGTGGTTAGAAAAATGTTATCGGTCACCTGCTTCTTATAGCCCGAACAAAATTGACTTTTATCATATTAAGACTCAAACGATCTCATGTACAACAATAAACGTAGCGTCTCGTTATATAATAGTTCAAAACGACTAAATTGCTTTATGAGTTTTCCACAAAGACAATGTATATTAGCTATAAGCTTTTGCTTCTCGATAATAAAAATTGTGTTTAGGGATTAGAAACAGTGTTTACAACAGTTGCTTAATTTGTCTCTCGAACACTCCTGCAACATAGAACTGTTTGGTTTACCACAGCCGGCTCAGGAGAAAAACATTTTCATTGCCGACTTGACGCATTCTTTCAAAGATTTTCCCATTAAGCCATCGTATGGTGGATACATCGCTTCCTTTAAAAAATATTCGTTCATAGATGATTACGAGTCAGCAGCGAGAGCTCAGTTGCAAAGCCTGCAAAACTTCAGGACAATCCGACGAAATTATTGACAAAGGTAGCTCTGCATATAATCTCTAAAATCAATTCAGTAAGCAAAAACATACTGGACGAAAATTCCGGCGCTCGTCTCTTTCAGAGGCGCTTCGCACTGAAGTTTAAACTTATTATTTGACATCCTTAAAGTCTTGATACACTTGAGAAAAGAATATATCAACATTTTTGCTAACATTAAGCACCTTTAAAATTTTCCTGACTTAAAATAGGAAAGCTGCGCCGCGTCAATTGTCTTACAAGTGTCTTCGGCCGATGTATCCGATTTAGAGAAACGCCCAGAAACCAAACGGTTCATTACGAAGCCATGAAGGGCAAGTTATAAGCGTACACACTGACATTGATCCCTTAAAGGTCGTAATCATATATTTGATGGATGATGTCATTGTAAATATTATGAGAAAAGTGTTATCTGACATACTAAAGTTAAAGGCAAACTAAAGTAGATGTTCGAGGAACTTGTCAGAAGTCTGAACCGCCTCGTTCATTGTCAGTCGCAGAATTTGATCTAATTCTTTTGCCAAAAAGCAGCTTTACCGTTCCGTCTTCTCAGAGGCAAAAATGACTCCATTAAAAGGGTCCTGAAATATGCACATGATTAAACTAGAGGCGCGTCATCAACAAAGTGGTAGACGATTAAGTCTTCAATGGAGTCGATCACAACAACCCACCGGTCCTCGGTTAGTTATAACAAAATAACAACAACGTGAGCCAATCGTCACCAGCTTCAGACGTAGAAAATAAGCCGTGCGTTACCTTTAAAGAAAACCACGCTATTCTACCACGCCGTATAGATAGATCTAGTAAGAAAACAAACGATCTGCTGCATACCTTGCTTGGCTGGTACTTCACGGATAATCCCAGAACGCCCTCAGCCTTTATGAAACAAAAAATATAGAGTAAGAAACGCAGGTCTAGTTAACGCAGTACGTTGCCCCAAAACCAAGCATGTGTATTAGAACCGACTAGATTTATTGTGGATGAAGGCTTTTCCAGCTTTGCGATAACCTCTGGCTTGCGTTCGTAAGATTTTGTTCGTGACAGCACCAATGCCCGAACGAAAAAATTTTTCTGCAAGCAAAGCACGCAGAGCTGTGGTAAGCAAATCTAGCGTATTAACTTAGCGACAATGTATCACCAAGTTTTAAAATCGATAAATTCGATTTAGAATCGATGCCACTGTATCAGTTGTGCCGGTTCTTCCGGCGTTATCCGATGCAGGTCTCATCTGCAGGACTCCGCCGAATTAGCGGCCGTAGCGTTTCTCCCAGATTATAACGTATAAAGACCCCTTCGTTCAATCATACTTAAATTGGATTCGTGCTGTTAAATGTATCCATTCAGGTCACATTGTTTAACAATTTTTTTTCTACCAAACTTCAGGCTAGAGGCAGCGTCTCTGTTTACATAAGAATTAATGTTTTAGATCCGCGAAATACAAATGTGTCGGCGTAGAGATATAAGGCTGCGTTGCTGTCTTGGTTTGCGCAGTGACACGAGCGATCCATCTGGAGTCTATAATCGACCTAACCATTTACAAGTGATATTGGCCTTCCGAGGACTTCATATTCGCTTTCAACTGCAATTTACAACATAAGTTACACCTCAACATAATGCCTGATGGTAACGATGCGCATAAACAGCGAAATGGCTCCTAGGGAAGCCCTTTGGAACAACAACTAATGCTCCTAAGAGCGGTTTTATGAGGCTAGCTAATAGTTTTCACGTGTCGCATACACGCGTCTATACCCCACCGAAGCGGAATTAGTCATTTAGCTAATTGAATTTGCCGCCACTGACAGACACTGCGACAGTTTAGTCGCGAACTGTAAAGGATTGCTAATAGAAATATATGAAGAGAAACATTTACTTAACTAATTCTCTAAAAGAAAAGAATAATAGCGAAGTAAAGTTATCGAGTTTGATTTCGTTGTCTATATACGTTACTGTTTTTCCTTTGAATACGACATTGAGGAAGCACATTAAACATGTTTTCCTATGGCTCGTTGAATGATAGGCGTAGAAGCTGTCCGCCACATGACTACTACTACTACTACTACTAAACGTTATGTTTTTCTGAGCTTTGTTGTTGAAGAAGAAGAAGAAGAAGAAGAAGAAGAACCTTTAAGAGAACAGTGGATTTTAAACTATGCGAATGTTATTAAAGGACAAAGCACGATGACGTATCGCCGAATTCCTAAGGAAGGCTTAGCTGTTACATATCGATAGAGTACTAAGTAGATTTTTTCTTCGACTCTAATGCTTTTGTCCAATTTTGGCTGACTAGGGTCCTTTAACGTAAAAGCTGAAAAACTATTCTTAACCACTTAAGAATTATTCCTGAGAACTGAAAAATATAACAATGACTTGAAATGAACATAATTTCTGTTGTTTCATATCATTAATCACTTCACTTATATTGTATAATAATAATAATTGTCGCTTTCACGTGCTATTAATACGCGTCGAAATAAACCCGCATGCCTAATATTTTTTCCATTGGCATCCTGAATTTACCGCAGCCCTCTGATAATTGCACAATTTCCTTCCATTTGCTATTTCAGCGATGGTGTTGAAAAATGCCAGGCCTGGGCGGAGAACACGACACAACAAATAGATCTAGCTCTCAATATATTTTTTATGGTTTATTTTTTTATAAGGGTAAGTAAAATGACTCTTATACGTTTCAACACAACTTTAGTAGATGGCGCTATCAACCCCTGCACGAAGTAAAAAATTTTAGACGTCGCTCAGCGACAGTGTACGATTTGAAGCGTGTTTTTTTTTCCCATACATCAGAGTGCGTTATTGACAATGAATTTCTTAAACATTCCAGTTCATAGCGGCGAGTGACAAGCTGTGGTTCATGTTGGAGCTGTATTCATTTGTTGACTACTTTACGATTCCGCCGTCCTTCGTCTCCATCTACTTGGACAGGTTTGTGGAAAATGTATACACACTTTGGGCCTTATGCTTACTTTTAACCTAATACCCATCTGGCAAAGTGATATGGCGACATTTCATGCCTTTCGCTGCAAAAAGCAAATGATTACCCGGCGCGTTTCCGTACGAACTGGCCTACGAATGACGATACTTGGCAGTTCACACAGTTCGGTACGTAAGCTCGAGTCTGTTGAATATATCATAGTCGTATAATTATTGCTTTTGATGGTAAATAGGTTAACTACTATAAACGCAAAGCTCTCTGGCGCCGGCAATGTACTATTGGAAGCTTCCCATTGTCAAAGCCAGGCCTATATAGTAATTTTAGGAGTGTTACACAAGTTGATTTATATATCGACTCATTAAAAGCGAAAAATCCTAGATGGGTTCCATGTCGGTTACGGCTTGCAGGTTTGAAAGCTACTTGTACGTCATGAAGAACAACAGCATTCTTACACAGTTTTTGGGTCATAATCATATGATTCACAATCTAAGAGATCCCAAGTTTAGCCTACTAATTCCATCTCACTTTTACATACAAGCTAAATCCGTCTAAACATCATAATTTTTTCGCTTATTTGTATAATGATACGTAATGCGCAGATTCGTTCGGCTGATATGCACCTTCGTGCCGACTATCGTATGGTATCAAAATCTTACGTCCAAAAAGCTACACTTTTTATTAAGGCCTTATCACACAATTAGAAAAAGGGCAATAATAGCGCATGCATTGAGACTAAAACAACGCTACTATATAGGAGCGCTGTTCTGGGGCTTATTGGGGTGCGCTACAGAAGCGGCACGAACATTCTTCAAGTAATTACGGTAAAGTTGCGATATTAGATAAGTTCACATATAATGCTTTATTGTGATTTCGACAAGATTGAATCGTGGTGTGAAATTGTCAGGCATCTCTCGTGGCGAGGAAACTGTGGTCGTTATAACGCCTCGATAGTGAAAAGCAAGCGTTCAATAGCTTTGTATGAAGATACTATTAGTGACGGTAAATTGATACTTTGTCAGCATTTCTAAGTGTGAAAGACTTTTAGTTATGTCGTTTATTGAATCCATTCATTGACAAAATAACGAGCCGAACTCAAGTCAGTTGATACCTTTCAGTGATCTAGTTCAACATAACCTTGTTGAGCCTTTGTTTTTATTCTTTTTTACAGGACGTGGATCGGGCTCCGTTTCCTTCGCGCTCTGCGCCTCATGTCGGTTCCCGACATCCTCCAGGTAATAATGGCTAAAATATATATATCTTAACAGAGATTCAACTCAAATATGACCACAGATAACGTATATTTACCTCATAATGCCACAAGCTAGAATCAACTGCTACGTCCAGTAAAATAATGATGCTGATAATCGCGTTCATTTCATATCTAAATATTAGATAACAGTTTACTTTCATTGTGGATTCTGTATTAGTGGAACGTCTGTGTGCTGTGGAACATCTTGCGTTACGTGATCGGGTGCCACGTGAAAGTCTCTGTGTCATAAATTTTCACACGTTTAAATATTGCGTTGTCCGAGTCTTTATTGATATTTATAATGATATGAGTGTGAAGTGTTATTATTGCTATTCTAACAAGTTATTTTCTGTATTTTAGTATCTGAACGTGCTCAAAACGAGCTCTTCGATTCGTCTGGCCCAGCTCGTATCGATTGTAATCTCCGTCTGGCTAACTGCCGCCGGAATTATACACTTGGTAAAATTTCTATCCGCTATAACAATAACTGAGTTGTAAAATTAAGGAAAAATCGAAAACTATCTTAACAATCGTTATTTAGAATTGGCTTGAATAGTACACATACGTATTACGATACCGATTTAGATATGGCTAGGACGCAGAAGTCCAAGCAACCGGTCAATGCTTCAACTAACGGTTTAGCCGTTCGGCTACAGTTTTGATAGCAATCTGTCTGCCAGCATGGTAGTTTAGGCGTACTTCGTACAGTATATAAGAAGTAAGAGAAACTTTTACTTCGGCGACAGCGTTACGTAGTAGAGCATCGAAGCTAACCTACATGGCTAGACTGCTAGGCTGACTATCCGATGCTAATACTAAGGCAAGGGCATCGAAGCCTGTCATAGAAAGGGCAGTTGAAAATCAGTTTAAAAAAAAAAGGTACTGAAGGTCGACCTCGTTGAGTCCTTACAAAAAGCTTGATAGTTCAAGCGATTGCGACAACCAAACTGCACTATATTTATGAGGCCATCCAATTGACCTTGAGATCTCCTACAGCATACAGAATACTAGATTGGTTCGGATCCTTTATGAAGCACCCTGAAGACCTGACACTCGCCGCTTCCGTACTGATGCTAGCAATAAACACAGTTGATCATCTTTCCCCGACGCAAAACACTTTTCCTTTCTGGCCAAACGGCATCACGCGTTTCTCGAAACATCTCGTTTTATAGAGCTGATGCTATATACGCTGAAATGGATTATAAGCTAACGGTTACTCGTCAAAAAACTTGATTTTTTAATAGCTTTATTAAATTTCGAAGGTTGGGTAAATGAATAAAAGTTCCCGGAATCAGTGAACCCCTAATTGTATTTTTAGATTTCCGACTATAATAACAACTTCTTGTGCCATTTCAATTTAAAGCTAAAAAATCAAGGATTATTGTTTGTGTTCAATTTGTTGCGTCAATTCCATTTTTGATTAGTCACCAGGTAGATGGCTGATCGACAAAACGTGCCCTTTATCTCAACAAGATCGAGTACACTGCCAAAATCTCAGACACAGCTTTCAGCTATCTTTGCTGAAATGCCGAGTGCTATCATATCATCATACGCACACACTTGACACAAAAAAGATTATGGGGTAAGTCTTCGAAAATGCTGGTCGTTTCATGAACGACTTCCAGCTTCAGATTGGTATTATTTATGAGATCCGAGAAATTTTATCGTATTCAGTTGATAATAAATGCACAAATGCCGAACAAGGCACTTGCCGTATACCGTCGTGTTTACGATCATCAATCTTTGTACCACTGAAGTTGTTCTTCTGTGACAACCAAAAAAATTGCAACATTATACATATTTTATCTCGTAACTAAAATAGCTATGGATATCCATTATTGTGAGCAAATCGTGAGCTAAATGCTTTGGCATTGACTCACATCGATGCCTTTCCTTAGTATTAACGCGATGTTTGTAGGAAACCCCCCAAAAGTCAATCCAGTCGATGGTAAAAAAACGCTGACGGTGTGACCGAGCGGGGAAGGTCGTACAGTTCTGTTCTGCCATCTGAGAGAGGCAGCTCGATAATAGGGAATCAATCGCAAACGAGAATTGCGCTTTCCGTGCATGTGTCACTGCTCGTTATGTGAGCGATTTACTAAGGCATATGGAAGCGCTGATTTATTCTTGGACTTGTCTAAATTTTTAATGACGAGAATCTCTTTCATTGAGGTCGCCTTAATCGGTTGTAAATATCTGCGGAACATGTCAGCATCAGACCCCCATACTGGTTAACGGTCACAATTTTAAGCACTTACTTCGATATTATCAAATAAGTTAGTTAGCCGAAAAACTTAGTTGTGCTCGAATGATATTCGATTGTATCAAAGAATTACATTGTTACTATTACCAACTAATTCTAAGAGCGTTTGGCTGTGACTTATATCGACTGTCAGCGTACAATCTGTGGTGAACAGCTGCGATCTCCTATAAAGCTCACTGTGTCAGCTTAGTTGTTAGAATTCTGACGTCGGGCCACACGGCTGTCCTAAAGGCCTGCTCGAATCTTTGGAGTCATCAAGTACGAGTTGCTCATCACATTTGACATATTTGCCAATCTTGATAAAACGATTTCCACTTTCAAGTAAAAGCACAGCATACCGCATAGAAATGATTTCACTATATGACTATAACTATTTCGTTCAATAGCGTAAGCCTGGCTAATCTGCGTGATAGGTAGGGCTTTTACGCCTGCGTTTCTTGTGATAGGTCAAGATATAGTTTGTTCGACCTTTCTTTTAAATAGCTCCACACAAGCATCTAAGGACATACTCTTTTTTTTAACCGTCGTATTGAAACGGTTCTTCATACCTGTGCTGTTTTTCTGTTTATTAAAGCGTCCTCAACGGGAACACGCCGAAGTTGAACTTACGGCATTCTTACCATATACCTACCGGTAGAAACGACGGTTGTTTTTAAAGCTTCTCGAAAGGTTGTTTCAGCGGTTGTCTCTCAATTGTCGTACTTTTCTTCGAGTGTCTGTAATTCTGTAAACACTTTTAATCGCTGCCTCTTATCTGGGCGTCATTATTGTTACGGAATAAATCGCGAAAAACTGAAAGTGGGTAAAACAGAAATAATAGTAACATTGCTTCCTTGCCTTTATTAATTTATATCGCCACATAAAATTCCGAACTAGTTGCCATCGGTATTATCATTATTAGGTGTAGTACTTCCGTTTATTACAACGTTCGATGCAATACATACATCTGTTGTATCTGAGTTGTTATTTAACGAGTTGCTGATGATATGTGTAGTACTACCAGGAGCATAAACCAAAGCCATTATATTTTCATAAAAATGCTTGATGCTTCAAAATATCGTTTTTGAGCTACTGTGTTAACAGCGATCTGAGTCTGAGCGAGTCTGAGGAAAACCTGTGTGATTAAATTGTCGTAGGTTGGGACCCCAATAGAACGAAGCGCTATTTTCCTTTCCTTCTAACATGTTTTTCTTGTTGCTACTTACAACATTGTTAGTGGCTATATTGGCACTATATATATTGGCATATAGTGGCAAAAAGGGCTGTATATATTTTGGGCCTCTTCCCGGATTTAGACATTTGACATTTCAAGGAAATGTATAACACCGAACGCAAAGATCTCAATTACTTTAGTTATGATTCAGAATTACCAATTTGACATGCGTATTTATTAACTTAGTCTGCATATTACATTATCCCTGCTTTTATTTTAGCTGGAAAATTCAGGGGATCCATTGGACTTTAAAAACCCGAACAAGTTGACATACTGGGAATGTGTATACTTCCTGATTGTAACGATGTCAACCGTCGGTTACGGGGATCTCTATTGCCAGACCACGCTCGGACGAGCCTTCATCGTGCTATTCATTCTCGTCGGTCTGGTAAGTCAACTGCAGAAGGTCGTGCCTAATTGCGTTTGTAATAATAGTGAGAATATGTACACTGTCCAGAGCAGAGTTGTGCGCCTTAAAGCTGTCATAACCTTGAGAACGACTATCTCTGCGAGTCTTTTTATAAAAAACAAAATTCGTTTTATTTATATAATTTTCACTGTGCAATTTGATTTTGTAACGTGATAACGTGAATTTCACTTAAGAAATCCAAGATCACTGATAAAACTTGTTCATTTTTAGTGGCGTAGATAAAACACACCTGACTTAAAATAACTCTCAATAGAATCTGGACAGCAGTTTTAATACAGAGAAGCGACTATGACGAGGAAGATTTGTCAGTTATGCTACTTAATAAAATTATCAGAAATAAAACGCGTATAAAAAAAATCGGCTGAAATTGCTATCTTCCTGGATTTCATCGAAATGCTGAAATTGCGGTCTGGGTCACGTACTTTAAGACCCATTTTAACTTAATGTAGTTATATTCCTTTCTTGCACTCAATAGGGCGATTCATGATCGAAAATATTACAGGCGCCAGTTTATTCAAAAGTAACGAATAACTAAATCAAGTATGATGGTACAAAAGAAGAAATATCGTATCATTGAGGAACCTGTCTTTGGCATATAAGTAACGACAAATAATACTCCAAATTATATCGAAAAAGAAGAAACGCTATAATTAACGTTTGAACGATTTGCTCCAGATAGCCTAATAATGGTTTTCCTGATTCGGTAGTTTCAATCTACCACGGTGACTATTATTGCTACCAATAATAGTAATAGCAAAAAAATTTCAGAGCCTGTTTACGTGGAAAACGGTAGCCTTATTAGAAATAGTAAGTTTTAAATTTTTGTACTAAATTGAGCTGCTTTCTATCAGAGAATTAACATCATCTATTCTAATAGCTTTCGTATGCTCCTATACACCTTGTATTGCTCTATACGAATAGTTCCAGGGCTTACTCTGTAAAACATAAATATTCATTTACCTGACAAAGGTGTAAGTAAAAAAAATAAAGCATATGACAATTACAAATATTAATTTAAAACTTTGACCTTTTTTTGGTGTTTTTTTCGGTATTTGCAAGCCTTCCTTATTCAATCTCAAATTGTGTAGGATTTCTTTTCGTTTTGTAAGCCTTTTGTAACACACACATCTATTCGCCACTATTTTACTCATCTTAAAACGCCCATTAAATTATTAATACTATGTTATATTTAGATTTTTGTTTGCTTTGTTTCAGCCTAATTTAATGCCATCCTATTCTGTAATGATCTGTAGTATATAATATAATACTTTCTAACAACGGTTTAAAGGAACACTGCGTGAAGTGCAGGCTAGTGCGTTACTGTGAAGTAGGACCTACGTTGTCTTTCTAAAGGTTATTTTTTAAAAAAGATCCCTTAATGATAGTAAAAATTCACTATTAAATAAATCATTTCCAGCAAACTTCCATTCTTAGTTATTGAAGACCTTTCTGAGCAGGGCCAACATTGTTAGGCTTTTAATCGTCTCAAAGCCGACGATACATCTGGAAAACTGGCCTATTTATCATTTGGCCTCCGTCTATAAAGTTGTGTGTCGAAGTTTAGAACGAGAACCGAGGCTCAATAAAATCTTTGATGAAACAAAGACCGGATGAGTGTAGCTTACCCAGGTTTAGTTGTGGTCTAAAAGCTTATGAGCTACTCGTAGGCACGGTTCTGGTAATATAGTTCTTTAATAAAGATTATTGTTGATACAACGTACTAATAATAAGTCATAAAGCTATAATCATTCTGCCAGCTAGCAGGGACTATGATGAATAGATTGTGCCTTAATTGCTCAATTTTAAAGTAATACTTTGTTATTTTTTCTCAAGGCTTTTAATTTACACAATTTATTTCTATGAAACAGTGTTTAGAATAAATCATTGCCGTATACTGTTATTATTACATATGCAACACATTGACGTAAGGGTGTTTATTTGGGCCGTAACTTTGTTTCTTTTTCGGGGGCGAGTGAAGATGCAATATATATTTTATAAGATTAAGGAAAATCAGCTTCTGCAGGTGCCCTAACTTTTTTATTATCTGAATGATGCATTTGAATTAAGGACACATCAAAATTCCAGTTTTTTAAATAATCGCTCAGTGAGTGATCGAAACGGTATTGAAAACACTGACCTATCAAATTCTGATGCTTGCATTTCGCTGTGCCGCTAGATGCATTGCCTTTTTACGGCATTGTAAATATAGACAGCATATGCTCGTAACCTAGAAAGAATATCACATTTCATAATGGCATAATGCTTTTAGGTGCTTAAAAAGTTATGCTAAATGGGTTCACTCAATGTTGAGTTAATGTTAACTTAGAGATAAGGACTTTTGTTTTAAAATAATTTTAGTTATTTTTCGGATATGTTCTTCGACTTCGAACACATAGGGTGCATATGGGGGATATAATATAAAGTAAGTAGTATAAGTATAGGCAATTGTACTTTTTAGGTGAATATATAAATATTACTCGTTTTGACAAGCTGGTAAAGCAGAGTACGTGTAGCATCCGCTTGGATAAACTGCAGATCGTTGGCTATGATCTAGCCCTAAGAGTTCATTCAGTAACTATCCAAATATTAATGATCGCATAGTCCTCTTGCTATTTTGCTAATTCGAGATTTGCTGTGGCCCAATAATTCTGATTTACAATTTTTTTTTTTATAAAAAAAAAAGGCTGAGAGCACATTGCCGTGCGTATGAAGGAAATTTCTTCTAGGACTTAGAAATGACTCCATGCCTTAAGCAATGATCTTATAAACTTATACTTTTGTTGGTCCTTAATTAGGATGCTATTAATATCAACAGAGGATGTATCCAACAGCGAACCAAATATATACATTTTATATATTCAATTTATTGCAATTATATTTAAACGTAGATAAAGATACCAGCGTTGTATGATTTTTCTTGACGCTGGTTGGAGCTAGAAGGTCTACGATGACAGCATTTAATAATTTAGGAGGATGTGGAATTCTTAGGAATATATATTTGCTTTCCATTATACATGTCGCAACACTGGCTTGTTCGAAACAATATAAGCAATATAAAAAAATGTGTGTGTCTCCGAGAGACGCCCATAACTTCTCGGCTAGTCTCATCTTCTGAAAAAAAAACCCCGCCACGTGCGCGAATCGAAATAGTCTTGATTTTATATTATTATTATTGAATTAGTACAGCTTGCCTAACAAGCTATATGTTGCTTCGTATATTTGCTAAATAAGTAACCATTCCAAGGCTCTCGGGTTGGTTCTGCTTATAACTTAGTAAAGTCCATTGGTTTCAAATAAAGAAAGATGGCAGCTGCTGTGATGGTTAGTGTCGATGACAATGTTCATAGTATTCGCAGATCTCGATAGGACTTGCAGAGGCACCTAGTGTGCCCAAGTGCTTTAACGCTGAGATTTAGCGACTGGAGTTCAAAATTTGTACTTCTGAAAAGAACGCGGTCTATTACCTCTAACTGACTCACCCGTATCAGGCTGGTAGGTAATGCGGCGTAAGTGCAAATTTTTAACTGCGACAAATGCGTACGGTACGCTTACTTTACACTCTATTCGCAAAGGCAAAACGGGTAGTGCTGCAGATCTGGGCCATAAAAGCTTAACAAAGCTTTTCAATAGGTAAAAAAGAAGATTCGAGTCTTATACCTTTTCGAGTAATTGACAGCTATTATTAGGACAGTAAAAGCTGCCTCTTGCCTCCTAGCATAATTAACAACGGCTCGATTTGCTTAATGCTTCATTGGTTAAAAGGAAAACTCAATGCGATGCCGCTACTTTTCAATGGTTCCAACAAACAAACTATATACACATTTGACGACACATACTACATAACCTGTATGAGTAAAGAAAAAAAAGTTATTTATATTTTACAGATATATTAGTAGAGCTGTCGTTTTGTAGTGGTAGTACAAGTAATGTCGAGCGGTCAGCGAACGCGCAGTAAATGCACACAAGTGTTTCGTGCTACACGCTAGTCTGGTTGATTAATGGAATCCAGATAAGCGCTCTAGGTTATTTTAGGTTAACTAGTTTTTGCATAATGTTGCCACTTACCGTAGCAGTACAACTCTGGGAAGGTACTACCTTTTAAGAGAACAGTGGTGACATGGCTATCAGTTCCGAAAATAAAGGAAGCTTTGAATAACTATGCATTCGTTAAATACGTGGTTAATTTTAGACACGAAGTTGTCAAGTGAGTGATCAGATTAGGGCCCAATATAAAACAGTCCTACACTTTCGTGCTCTATACAACGGCGACCAATGCACGGCCTAGAAATTCGTTCTATCCACGATCTAGAAATCAGACAGATGAAACGTTATGTAACTTGAAATATTCTAATTATATTGAGAATACAAGCAGTATTCTTTCGTAACAATCTAAATAAAAACAACAAAGCAAAGTGTATTGCATTGGCGTTAAAAAATAAACTTACTATAATCAAAATAAACAAGTAGTGGCTGAAAAAGGCGATAGGCAAAATACAAGTGGGGTAGACAAAAATTTAGGGTGCGATGGCAAATAGTTGAAAAATAATGACAGAAAGTAAAGGGGCTGATAACGACAAGATAATGAATGAAGAGAAACTCAAGAAAAGTGGCACCATTAACTCGACTAAACAATAGAAAGGTCCAGAAAAAAAAGATGTGCAAATAAATCGTCTTATGCAACTATCTTGTAAACACCAATAAAAGACGAAGATAAACTAAGTATAATGATTGTTCGTTGAATATAGCGTAACGCCTTAGACAACACATGCATATACATACATTGTTGACGACTGACTATATATACTTCTACCGAATTTCTCACCGTAATATTTTATAGAATCTATTATATATGATCTTAATAATTCCTTGCATTATTATTATACAAGGAAGAGGCATCGACCGAAAAGATCGCATTTATATCGGTACTAGTGTGACATAGCGAGGTGTGTTTATGTATA